AATGCAATCGATGAGTTTTTTAAATCTGGAAGGATGCCTGAACAATGGAAGGAGATGGTGGTTGTGTTGATTCCAAAAATTCAAAATGCCAAAGAATGCTCCAAATTCAGACCTATTTTGCCTCTGCCTAACGGTCTACAAACTAGCTACCGGTATGATTCTTAACAGATTCAAAAATTGCCTCCCAAAAGTTATATCAGAATATCAAGGGGCATTTTTTCCAGGAAGAAGTATTTCGGATAACTACCTTGTTGCACAGGAAATCATTAGCAAGATGAAAATGTCTGTGGCTAAACCGGGATATTTTCTCTTAAAGCTTGACATGGAACAAGCTTATGATAGCATGTGTTGGGAAAATCTAAATCAAGTATTGAAATTCATTGGATTTCCTGAGAGTTTGATGCAACTGATTATGCAATGCATATCTAATCCAAAATACTCTATAGTGATAAATGGAAAAAGAACAAACTTGATCAATGCTCGTTGTGGCTTCAGACAGGGTTGTCCCTTATCGCCAAGCCTATTTATTTTATGTTCTTACATTCTCTCCAAGGCTCTTCACAGGAGTAATAACAAGTTGGGGATGTGATTAGCTTCGAATATGGAGAAAGTAACACATCTGCTATTTGCAGATGATATTCTTGTTGTATCCAAGGCCTCTAGTGATAATGTTAGAGCTTTGAAGGTCATCCTCAAAAATTATTGCGTCTGGACAAGAAAAGCAATAAACTCCCAAAAATCCATGGTCTTATATGGTAAAAGAGTATCCAAGAAAAGAAGAAGGAAACTGAACAGAATAATGAGATGCATAGAAGTCAAGGAACTCAGTTATTTGGGCATCAAATTAGCATTGAGGAGACTTAAAACTAAAGATTTCATCAAATCAGCCTACTTAATTCATGTGGAGCAAGATGGTTATCAATGGCTTACAGAATAATCCTCATCAAATCAGCCTACTTAAACATGATTTATTACTAGGTAGCTCATTCCCTTGTTCCTAAAAGTATTTTGCTAAATATTGACAAAATATGTAGGAATTTTTTGTGGCATAAAGAAAATGGAAAATAAGGAATGCACTACATTGCTTGGTCAAATCTATGCCTACCTACCAATTTGGGAGGATTTGGCATCCAAGGAGCATCAGAAAGGCAAGGACCTTTAAGAGCAAGAATAGCGTGGATGTATTTACATAACAACGACTCATTGCTATGTCAAATTCTCAAAAGGAAATATGGTGACAAAATCTGGGAGGAAGGTATGAAGAAAGGTTCTTCATCAGCTTGGAAAATCATCAAAGACGGCATCAAATTTTTGAAACCAATTGTAAGATGGGAAGTTAATAATGGTAATAGCATTAACATTACCAATGACAACTGGATTCTAGACCATAACCTTAACAATTGGTCTGCAACGTGCAATGTAGCAGATCTCTCAGATAAAAGGTATCTTTCCTTATGGATCAAGATTGAAATTGGAATGTAGAGAAAATGACTGATTTTTTCTCTAAAGACATGATAAATCTGATTCAACAAATGGATAAAGGGGAGATTAACAGAGAAGATAAGCTAGAATTGTTATGCAGCAATTTAGGGAAGACGATATCATCTCTGTGTACTGAAGCCAATAATAGGAATCTTGACAGCAATCTAAGCAAGTTCAATTGGCTGAAAAAGCTAAAACTCAACCAGAGAACTCATTTGTTTTGGTGGAGAGCACTGAATGATGCACTACCAACTAATTCTTGGTTCAGTTATAGAAAATTAGCTAATAATTCAGATTGTCCTAGAGGATGCCAGACGAGGGAAGATACAGAGCATATAACCACTAAATGTGGTAAGCTTTTGGAGATTATACTGAAACTGAGACACTGGGGATTTAACATTCCTTCTTTTCAAAATCTTGATGAATGCATTGTAGAACTTAGTTCTAAAGAAGACAATGGTCTTGCAAAAATTTATGCATTGACCGTTTATTACAGCTGGAGGTCACAGAATCTGGGCAAACATGGAAATTCAGAATTTCCCATTGCCTACATAGCAGCTGAAGTCATCTCTCAAGCATCATTTTTTCAATATGCACCAACCGAGAAGAATTGGAGCACTAATCAGCAATTACTGCCTAAATCTTGGTGTCCCCCTCCTAATGGTTGGTTAAAATTGAATGTAGATGCGGCTTTGTTGAAATCGAACTTGGTGGGAATACTAGGGTTGCTTAGAGATTGTAAAGGTAGAATGATATGTGCTTATGGAAAGAAGATAATACATTGGGACGTTGCTCATCTGGAACTTAAAGCAATTCTCATGATGGAAAAATACATTCAAGATTGGTTTTGTGAATATAAGGGGATAATCATTGAAGGAGACAATGTGAATATCATAAAGATGCTCCAAGATTCTATAAGAATGAAGACTAATAAAGGTATGAAATTGGATCTCTCTTTCCTACAAGTGTTCAAAAATATTCTTTTTCTCTTTACTCCTAGAGATTGTAATAAGTTGGCCGATTATTGTGCCAAATTTGCTTTGTTAGGTGACTTCTTCTGGGACTCCTTTGTTGAAACAGAACTTCCAACAAGTTTTTTACACTTGTTTAGGAAGGACTGTCATGGAGTCTCTTAGTAAATGCCCATTGTAATTTCATGAGTTTCATTAATGCTAGTTGCATCCTTTATTCAAAAAAAAAAAAAAAAAAGGACTTGTACAAACCCTCAACGAGCTCAACTAACAAAATTGAGGTCTCATATAGTAACACAAGTTGATTGATCGACACAATCAGATTCTACACATAGCTAAAATTTTTCTATTTGTGAGTTAGATTTTTTCTATTTTGTAAAATAAATTACCCATTTTGTTAAAAATCTAATTATTCGATATAAAATCCTATAATTAACAGATAATTATCTTATGCCTTGAATTAAATTCTCACTCAGAAAACTATAAAAAACTTTTTTGTTCTTTCTTTTTTCTTTAAAAAATAACAAATTTTGTCGTGGGAAAGCTGCAAGCATATTCTAACTTTTCAACACTCATCATTAGCTATTATGTTAAAGCTACAAGCCAAATATAATGGCCGACACCTTTCAACAAATTTTGATTGAAAGGAATACAATTAATTTATAACCTCAAATCAAAGTAAAACTTGAGAAAAAAATCAACAAGTTGGTAATATAAGAACAAGACCAAGCAATTGACATTTGTTTCCTTCTTTATAGATCAAAACCCTAATTTGATCTAATCTTCTACCACCTAATCTTCCCTTAAAACAATGACTGATATTCTAAACTATCTTTCTAATAACCCCATTATGTGCGATAATCCACCGCCTATAAAGCCCCACCTCCACTTGGCTTACTCCTCCAAATTATCCTAAGCATAGCTTCAAAGTTCTATTCTCATGGTGACTTTATCTCTACTCTCCTATTATATTCTTCTCAATCTCTTCTTCCTTTTGCTTTCAATAGAGAAGAATTTTCTAGTATTAGTGCGAGAGCTTGCCAGAGAACACCATGTCATTGACGTTAACTCACTTTTGTTGAGCAACTCCTGCTCCATGCCTGATAAAAGTTTACTCTCAATTTAAATAATTTCTTAATACACTATTAGAAACTATTTTTTTCATAAATTAATTAAAATAATAATAGAATGTTGATTAGCAGTTCAAGATCTGATTAAAGTTTATAGGTATTTTCCTATTTTGGTTTTCTTATTGTCATGACTAATTTATTATTCAATTCTATAGCTTTTGCATATAAACATGTAATGCAGCATAGTTACATTTTAATAAAATAAAAAAATCTTGTGAATGAGTTTAGTTATAGTAGTTGGAAATTTTAGAAGCTCTGTAGTATGTAGTTTATTTAAAATGAATATTGAAAGTGAGTTTGAAATATTCTAGAATTAGAGCATGTTATTTGCTTGTCACAGCTCAACACGATGGGATATGTTCTTAGCAGTTGGGTTGTGACAAGCTTTTGTGGTATCACATGTTTATTTATTATTATTTATCTATTCTTTTTTTGTGAAATGTTGGCATTGTAATGCTCAACATACAAGCATGGGTATATAAGGCATGTCCTTTGAATTTGTTATCAAGATCATTCGACACTAGATATCTAGAATTTGTATTGTTAATATGTCACTCCCTAGCATTCACTAGGTAACATAGATATCACAAGCTTAAACGTGATGTAAAAGCAAAAAAAAAAAAAAAAAGAACTCATTATATGTATTAATTAGTTGTTTCAATTGTGACAGGCACAGACCTTCTAGGTTTAACGTGGTCCACTAGCACGGCCTGTGCTCATCCCGGGCGCACCAAGACAAGCTGTCCCATGTGGAGCTACTCCGACGGGACCAAGCCCGTGACAACTACATCCAATGCCAGGTCGCCAACGCCAACGCTCACCTCAATCTTTTTGGCGGAACTTTTTCTGCAAGCGTTCCGGCAAGCATCGGTGTTGATCTTGGTATCAACAACTATATCATCAAAGTAGGCCTAGGCACCTCTACCAATGACTTTTTTAGTTATGTTCGACAATGGAAGTGATCTCACTTGGACCCAATGTGTCCCCTGCATTAACTGCTTCACCCAAAAAAATCCATTTTATGATCCTACCCAATCCTGCACCTTCATTGACATCTCATGCAACTCCAGCTATTATATCGAACTAGATACATTTGGTTGCTGCTCTACCTCCACCTGTCTCTACAAGGAAGAATATGTTGACCATTCTAGTACTAATGGCCCCCTCATTCAAGACACCTTGAGATTCTCCTCTGATACTATATATAGAGAACTTCCGCTTCGGCTGTGGATATAATAACACCAGAAATTTTGGACAAGTAGATGGGTTATTAGGCCTCGGCCGGGGAGTTGTTTCAACTATTTCCCAAACAGCTCAATTGTATGATAATGTATTCTCATATTGTCTACCATCAGGGTCTGACGAAATTGGATATCTCAAACTAGGTAGCTCTGTCCCTGGTGTGAGGTATACACCGATGCTAACAAACCGAAACTTGCCATCCTTCTACTTCCTCAAGCTCACTGGCATTTCTATTGAGGGTACCAGGCTCGCCCTTTCACCTACTGAAACTGTGTTGGACTCCGGCACATCATTTACCTACTTGACACCCACTTCCTACTTTGTCCTTCACGGCATTTTTGGAAAAAAAATGAGCAATTTTCCAACAGCGCTGCCAATTTTATATCTCGACACATGCTATGACCTCACTGGCCACTCGGAGGTGGACGTGCCAGAGATTGTGTTAACCTATGATGGTGAAGTGCCGACTATCTTAGATGGCTCGGGGATACGTTATATTGTCAGTGTATCTCAAGCGTGCTTAGCCTTCACTAAATTAAATGATGATGTTAAGGTTTCAAATATTGGTAATATGCATCAATGTAGGTTCAATGTTGTCTATGATGTGGGGAACTTAAGAATTGGCTTTGGGAGTAATGTTGTAGCTAGTGATGGATCAATCGACGTGATTGGGTTAAATGCAATGTATTGATGTAGCTATAATGAATAGGTTTCGTTATGTTGGTTATAAAATCGGTGCGTGTGGGACAATAAATGTAGTCATGAAAAAAGTTCAATTATATCCAAATTTTATGAAATCATTAAATATCAAATGAAGGAAACATTATATGAGTTGATGAAAACCATTAAGATGTTCTTAATTTCTTTATAATTATGGGGGAATGATGACATTAATTGTCGGAGTTTAGAATTTGGATTATCAGAGGTAAAATGCCATCTTTCTTTGCAGAAGATCTTACACTTAAAAATAATGAAGACTGCTTGTTGTGATGACTTTTGTTTAGTATCAGACTCTTACAAAGTAAAATCAACACATATTTTTCTTCAATTTATCCTTTTGGTTCTCAATTTGGCTTCAGTTTTTATTTTTGTTCTGGTCTGTAAAAGGAAGCATTTAAGGCTTGTGATTTTTGCCAACTCATTGGGTTGTACAACTTAACACCTTAAAGTTTTGATGCTACTAATCCCAAATTCATTAAATATGGAGACATTTAGTCTAATTTAAGCTAACTCACATACATATCACTTACACAACCTTAGAACACAAGACCTCTGGTTGATAGTCAAAGCTTCTAACCAACAGAGTTTCTCAATGATATATTATGTGATTTACATTTTTGAAATTTTAAAGATTTTTTTCCTAAATATTATGCACCCACATGAAAACAATTCTGACTCTTCCACCATCAGCATGCATCAAATAAGGAGGATGACTTAACCAAATATTATGATTGTACTTCTATGAAGGTTAAATCAGAACAAAAATTGGAGTAAGAAGAGGATGAAAGATGTTAAGATACTCGAGGAAGATATGTCCTTGTTGAATGTAGAGGGAGAGAGGGAATGAAGAACTAACTTTATTGCTTTGGCTTGGAGTGCCTATTACAGCCTATTGCAACTACTTATAAAAACAAATGGCAATACAAAGTTACACAAGAACCTAAAGAAAGTACAACAGAAAAACTAACATAAATCTAGACCAAATCCGAACAAAAGAAGTGGATCATCCAAAAATAATTGATCCCTTCCTCCTAAAAGTTCAAATGAAAGATGCATTGGAGCAGTACAATCATCATCATGTGAAGTCGGTAAAATATTTCATATGCCTTTATCATCTCTAATCAATACTAATGCTTTAAGATTTTAAGTATTTTGTTTTATAAGAACATAACCTCTGATCTATGCTTGAAAACTGATAGCATGACTGGTACAAATCCCATGTTAGTTGTGAAGTGAACAACTCCAAGCAATCCTTGAAGCTACTGTAAAGTTACAATAATCTCCGCTCCTCCCATGAACCCAATTAGCAATGATTTTGACAAGAAATAAAAAAATGAAACCCAGCCTACAACAAATATTGGTAAAAATTAAGAGCCTCTCGTAATCGCATCTGTTGTGGCCTGTTACATTATTGATAAATCTCAGTAGTTTAATTTCTTAGCATCTTTAAATATAAAACAAATCTTGAATGATAACTAAAGTCATATATTGGTGATTACAAAAGATCATAATCACCATAATTAGTTGTTTTATGTAGCATTACATATTGTAGTTAATATAATGACTTTTTAGGAAACTATATATGGAGCATAAATAAGCAAGAATGAATGATTCTTTCCTCAAATACCGGGAGGAAATATATCATCATAATCTTTTAAAGGTAATCATTTAGGTGGTGAAGAAATAGTTTCCACTAAATGTTGGGATATGATTATATACAGCAATCCCTCTGAAACTTTAGGCACAAATAAGTCCTTTATTTAGGTGATTATGATAAGTCTGAACATAAAAATTCCTCAGCAAAGAAGGTGGCAATAAAGGCTAGCTGGAGATACAAAGTAATTGGTTCTTTATCAGGAGAACCAGTCTCTCTCAGCATGCATATATCCCATTACCAAACATGCAATAGAAAACAGCCCGACGGAAACATCTTTTCAGCTCCCAAGGACTGAATAAATCAATGGTGGCACAAAACTTAAATCTATATGAAGTGAAAAGAAGAAAAATAAAAAAAATTGAGTATTGCATTGTTTCCAAATGGTTTGAAATTTTCCTACGATAGCGAAACATGCTGAACTGTTAAATAGAGTTTAGACGCATTACTGGCATAAACCAATAATGAGTCATTTCATCATTCAATTTTGTAACTATTTTATTATAGAAAACAAAGACAATTATTTAAAAGTGAATTTGTAATTCAAATCCAATGAGTTTTCTCTCAAATTTTATCAGTCGATGCTCTTGAAACTGACCAGAATAAAAAGTATTAATGATTATCAATCAATTAATAAATTAAATATAATAATCATTGTATTTTTTGTTGCTAATGTGGTCAAATAATCAAAGACAACAAAAATTTTCATGGAAGATAGCTCATTAATACCTTCGTCTCAATCAAATTAATGCATGTTGTGCAAACTTTTTAGTGTTCTATAAATAATTTTTTTTTTTTAACAAAACACATATATTAATAAAAGCAAATTCGGTTACATCAGAAAATGACCAGAGAGAAGAGAGAGTGAAATACATTAACATATGGCTCAGTATAACGACCGAGGCTCCCAGCATCCCTGTAACCTCGCACGGACCGTCCATACGGTAAAAATAGCGCCCACATCCAATCGTCGAAGAACACCGAAGGTTGCCACCAGCTCGGCCACAGGGACACGAGCCCCAGCCACATCATAGCCTTTAAAACCTCAGAAATCAAACAGAGAGAAACAAATAAAGACAAGAAACCTAGAAAGATCATCTTCGACTACGCCCCCTCCGGCGTCCCCTCCCGCGAAATCTCCCGCGCCCACGAGAAACAGCAGGACTATCTCGCACCAAGGTAAAGTCATTTCCAGGATCGGAACCACCGTAAAAATCCGGATCAGCCAAATTGCAATCCGAAAACTCCGAACCAGATTCAAATTCGGAAGAGACATATAACCAATCCCCCTGGTTAGAGAAATCGGATCCAGGATTAATACCCAAACGCTGAACCAAATGCTGCGTATCAACCAAGTTAACTGAGACATCCACTAGATTATCCGAACAAATCGAATTGTTACCCAGATTATTTTCCACAATACAATCTTTATGCACAGAAATATTATTCAAAATAACAGCATCAGGTGGCGATTGAACCAACTCATCAAAACCCAATAAAACCGGGCTGTCAACCGCAATGAGCCCCTTATCTCCCAACCCACCAGTAAATTCCAGCAAAGAAACCGGGGCATGAACAGAGGGAGAGACATATCCATTTAAAACATTAATATCAAAATCACTATTTAACTCACCAACAGCCGGACAAACAACACCATTTTCCGGAATAACAACGTTATTAACAATACCATCCTCACACAAAGAAGCATTGGGGATAGAAAAGTTAACAGGAATAATAGGAATCGGTAAAGAAATTAAAACGGATTTAATTTGCGACGGAGCAGATGGCTCCATAGGACGAACATTTGGATTTAGCTAAGGACATTCAGACTTTTTATGACCCACAACTTTGCAATGAAGGCAAAAATTGGGCATACCTTCAAGAACAACCTTTTGCACATATCCTAATTTTTCCGGTCCCAACCAAACAGAATCAGGATAGTTTTTGGAGATGTCAAGTTCAACTAGAATGCGCGCAATAGAGGGACGCGAACCTACAGCCGTCGCATTATCAGTTTGGATCGGCCTACCAAAAACAGAGCCCAGGCCAAAGAGAATACGCGAAGAGAAGAGATGAGCTCGCAAACCTGGAAAAGAAATCCACACAGGGACAACATGTGACTCTTCCGAAAGATCCAAAGTAGGCGACCACTTAATAATTTTCATAAAACATCCATAAACAAAATATGAACGATGAGCAAAGATCCTATCATAATCTAGATCGTTTGATAACTTAATTAATACATTTGATTGATCCAGCAAAGTAACAGAAAAATCACCGGTTAACTTAAGATTGAAGAAAAATCTACGGATTGCATCCAAAGCCGGACGTTTAAGGGGAAACTTCCCTACCAACGCAAAATCGAAAGGCTTAGCAAGGTGCATAAATTCATCCTCAGAAAACCAAAGAGCAGGCATACCGCGAATCGTAGAAACACGAAGATCCGGAAAAACATTCGCATCAACAGGCCCCGACAAAGCATCTTTGAAAGATTTGGAACTCTTACCCGCAAGGAAACCCGGATCCAACCTCTTGTTTGCCATGGAAGCAAAGACGGAGGCGAGAAAGCGAGAACGGCTAGGGCAAAAGCATTAGCGAAAAGGGGCAAACCCTAGCAGACGAGAGCAAAGCGAGCCTCATTGAAAAAATGTGTGCTGATGGTGTTCTATAAATATGATTTAGAGATACAATTAATTCAATAAATATCTTTACTAATTTTTTTTACCACCAACTCAAAATTTTTGTTTCATTCATATAGATGCAATTCCTTCCTAATATCAGCTCTCAAACATTTGCTAACTTTTGTGTACATTAAGAAAAAAAATTGAAGACTTCAAATATATATAGTATAAGTATTTGGACAAAGGGCTTTGATACATTGGTAAAGTATATGAAAATTCACTCTTACTCAAAAAAAGAAAATGCCGACAACAAAATTAGCATTCACATATGTTAAAGCATTTTTTGAGGCATCCCATATTTCTAAAAATTAGAGAACTATGACAGAAAAATTAATCGAATGGTAGATCGATAGAGAAACCTTGCCAAACATAAGTGAAGGGCGAGTAGAGAGGATGAAAGGACATGGAGAGGAAGTTGGACAGAGTAAAATCGTCGGGAATGGCCGATTGGAAGCAGTCAGACCGAGCAGAGAATGAGAGATGGTTTTTGCATGAGAATAGATGTAGGAGAGGAAATTCACCTAATTTTAGACGGAGTAGGGGGTTAAGAGTTGATGTATGGCCCTCTCCGGCAAATTTCTACCCTAATTTACCAGCGAAAATTCCACCAACAAATACGTCTGATTTGAAGCAAGCATATGGTATTTTGGCGGCAATCCCACCGGTAAAAGTGCAGCAGATATTCTACCGGAAAAGACCGCCGGCTAACTTAAAATAGGCGTCATTTGAAGACAGAATTTTTGCTAGTAACATTACGGCGAAAATTCCCCCGGAAGATTGTTGAAAAATGCCGGAAAGTTTTCCATCGTCAAATCCACCAGAAATCCCACCGCTATTTCCAGTGAATTATGGTCCGTCGAAAATTTTGCCGAAAATAGTCATTTTTCTTATAGTGTTTTCCTAACAACCGAAATGTTATTTTAAATATTATTTTTTTGGCCCATTTCAAATGATTCATATGCTTTTTAAATGGAAATGAAAATTACGAATGATTTTAAGTTTTTCACAATATAAATTGAAGTTTTTTTAAAAGAAAAACATGATCAAAAGAGCTTCAGCTCGCAATGTATTATTAAAAAGCAATAATTACTAGTCTAGATACAGAATATGACAGAATAGAAAGAAGACCAATAAAAGCATTCAAGATGAATATGAAGCAATCTAAGAAGAAATTGAGCCATTTGTAGTCTCATGCTTATCAAATTAAAACAAGCAAAAGTTATTTTATGCCTCTTAAAAGATGATATTGTCTGGGAAACAAAATAATTGTGGTAGAGCTGCAGGCATTTTAGTAAGTGCTTATTGGACTTATTACCATAGCGAAACAAGCTGAACTGTTAAATAGAGTTCAGACGCATTACTCGCATAAACCAATAATGGGTCATTTCATCATTCAATTTTGTAACTATTTTATTATAAATTCTTTTAAAATATATTCAAAATAAAAAACAAAGACAAATATTTAAAAGTGAATTTGTAATTCAAATCCAATGAGTTTTCTCTCAAATTTTATTAGCCGAAGTTCTTGAAACTGACCAAAGTAAAAAGTATTAATGATTATCAATCAATTAATAAATAAAACATAAATAATCATTGTATTTTTTGTTGCTAATGTGGTCAAATAATCAAAGACAACAAAAAATTTTCATGGAAGATAGTTCATTAATACCTTTGTCTCAATCAAATTAATGGATGAAATTATTTATCTAGTAGATATTTTAATAATCAAATGAATGGTACAAGCGTTTTCTCAAGCATCACTACAGGAACAATGTCATTTTCTGGCGAAAATAAAATCTGCTAGAAATTTACATTTCCGACGGATTTCCAACGGTAATTCACGCGTCAGAAAAGAAACACCATTGAAAAAATTCTATCAAAAAATTCTTCATAGTAAATTGCTTAGAAATTAAAAAAAAAAATGTTATTTAGCCTGAGCAGGCCCGTGAACCCGCCTGAGAACTCTGTGAGCACATAAACCAGCATGTTATCACCACGGGCTAGTCAACCTGCCTGCTCTCTGCAGTCGCATGATTCAAGCCCGCCCGTTAACTCCACAAGCCCGTGAACTAGGCCTACCCGTGAACCCGCATGTGCTATGCATGGTTTAAACCCCGCTCAATTTAAACCACGGTCTATCCAATGATTTGCGATGCAAACAATGTCAATTTATCTGGGTTTTTCTTTTTATTATATTTTCTTAATAATTATATTTAATAAATAATTCTAAAATTAATTTTTTTAACAATATCTATTAAATTATCTAATTAATTTATTTTATTTAGTTAAATTACCATAATAATAGTTATTAAATTTTTTTATTTTTTTAGTTTAACCATTTTAGTTTAATTTAACAAAATGAATAATTTTAAATATTTACTGTTTGGTATTGGATTGGATTTTACTTTAGTGGGATGTAGTAAATTCTATAAAATTGACTTTATTAAATCTTGATGGTGTTAAATCCTGAATACTGTTTGGTATAATAAATGTTAAATCTTGATAAATCCTTATAAATTGTTTGATAGTTTAATTCATGATTTAAGACGGTTGGTTCATTTAGAAATTAAAATTAATGTGCTTTGAATTTAATTTGCATGACTGCTTGATAATTAGATAATTAGTTATGTAATAAATAATTTGATAAGTGACATTTAAATAATTAATTTGATAATTAGTTTTAATTAAGTTAACTTCTAATTATATTACTCATTATCTAATTTAATAACAATTATAAAACTAATAACTAATTATCTAATTATATTACTAATTATATAATTATCTAATTATAATCTCAACTTCTAATTATATTAAACTAATTTAATGATAATTATACAACTAATAACTAGTAACTAATAAATTACCAATATTAATTAAACTAATGTAAAGACAATTAGACTATTAATTATTTAATTAAACTTAATTGGATTACTTATTTATACTACTTATTATTTGATTAATTTATAATCTAGGGTTTGGCTTCGTCTCTTTTCCTCGTCGCCATTTCTCCGTGGCTGCTTGAATTGCATAATGTACGTCTTTCGCGTGACGGAAAAAAAAAGGGTACAAAACACCATAACCCAAGCACATGGAGGACCTGTATAACCCCTCAATGAGCTTAACTAACAAAATTGTTAGTAATACAACTTGATTGATCAAAACAATCAGATTCTTCATAGAGCTAAAATTTTTCGATTTGTGAGTTAGATTTTTTCTATTTTGTAAAATAAATTATCCATTTTGTAAAAAAATCTAATTATTAGATATAAAATCATCTAATTAACTGATAATTACCTTTTGTCCTGAACTAAATTCTCACTCAGAATTCTATCGATTTTTTTTTTCTTTTTATTTCTTTAAAAAATAACAAGTTATGTCGCGGGAAAGCTGTAAGCATATTCTAACATTTCAACACTCATCATTAGCTGTTATGTTAAAGCTACAAGCCAAATCCAACGGCCGACACCTTTCAACAAATTTGGATTGAAAGGGATGCAATTAATTTATAACTTCGTATCAAAGTAAAATTTAAGAAAAAAAATCAGCAAGTTGGTAATATGAGAACAAGTCTAGGCAATAAACATTTGTTTCCTTTTTTTAAAGGTCAAAACCCTAATTTAATCTCTTCTTCTACCACCTAATCTTCCCTTAAAACAATGACTAATATTCTAAACTATATTTCTAATAACCCCATTATGCGCGATAACACCTCCACTTGGCTTACACCTCCAAATTATCCTAAGCAAAGCTTCAAATTTCTATTCTCATGGTGACTTCTTCTCTACTCTCATGTTGTATTCTTCTCAATCTCTTCTTCCTTTTGCTTTTAATAAATAAGCATTTTCTAATATCAGCGCGAGAGCTTGTCGAAGAACACCATGTCATTGACGTTAACTCACTGTTGCCAAGCAACTCCTGCTCCATGCTTGATAAAAGTTTGCGAGCAATTTAAATAATTTCTTAATACTCTATTGAAGACTATTTTTTTCATAAATTAATTAGAATAATAATAGAATGTTGATTAAAAGTTTAGGATCTGATTATAGTTTATAGTTATTTTTCTATTTTGATTCTTTTTATAGTCATGACTAGCTTATTATTCAGTTTTGTAATTTTTGCATGTAGCCATGTAATGTAGTGTCGATAAATTTTGATAAAAAAAAAAAAAAAAAAAAAAAAAAAAAAAAAAAAAAAAATCTTGTGAACGAGTTTGTTTTTAGTAGTTGGAAGTTTTAGTAGCTACGTAGTATGTATTTTATTTAAAATGAAGAATTAAAGTGAATCTAAAACATTCTAGAATTAGATCATGTTATTTTTTTTTGTAACAGCTCAACATGATGGGATCCAATCTAAGCGGGTTTGGTTGTTACAAGCTTTTGTGGATCACATGTTTATTTTTTATTTTTATTATTTTTTTGAAATGTTAGCATTGTAATGCTAAACATACAAGCATGGATATATAAGGCATGTCCTTTGAATTTGTTATCAAGATATTTAGACATTGGATATCTAGAATTTGTATTGTCAATATGTCACTCCCCTACATTCACTAGGTAACATAGATATCACAAGCTTAAACATGATGTAGAAGCAACAAAAACAAAAAACAAAACAAAAAACAAAAACAAAGAAAAATCATTACATACATTAATTAGCTGTTCCAATTGTGACAGGCACAAGCCCTTCCAGGTTCAACATGGTCCACTGGCATGGCCTGTGCTCATCCTAGGTGCACCAAGACAAGCCATCCTATGTGGAGCTCCTCCGACGGGACCAAGGCTGCATCAAATACATCCAAAGCCGGGTTGCCAACTCCAACACTTGGCTCAACCCTATTGTGGGGCTCTCTTTTTGCAAGAGTC